CTCAACAAGCCACCGAGTCGAGCTAGCTCGCGAGCTTCACGAGCTGAACAAAGGTGAGCTCGTGTTCGGCTCGTTTATTAACGAGTCGAGTTTCGAACGAGCTTTTCTCGAGTCGAACGACGAGCCGCTCGCGAGCAACTCGACTCATTTGCAGCCCTAACACTAACAGAATCGGGGAAAAAACAACTGTAATCAAAGGAAATTGCAGACAGAAAAAAAAAAAAGAAGGGGGGTTCTGTTCTGTTGCCCTGAAAAAATCCATCCATCCTCTGCCAAAAAATTTACCGACCCTTGTCATTCACGTCTCTGCCCTCTTTTTGGTGCTCTCTCTTTTTTGCCTTTTGTCTCCATGTCTCTCTGTCTGTCTGTCGTCTCTCTCCCGTAGCTTTTAGACACTTTAGACGGAGGGAATTGATGGCCATTGTTGGATATTGGAGAAGATAGAAGAAATGGCGGAGCAATGAGGTTGACTCCTGTCCTCCTCAACCACGGATAGAGAGAGAGAGAGAGAGAAAGGTGTGGAAGGAAACATGGCTAAATGTAGCTTTTGGGTCCCTTCTGGTCCCCAAATTTCCCCACAACTAAAAAAACTCCTTACCTACATCATTTCATTCCTTGCCTTACTCTTTGTTCAAATAGTTGATTCACGTTCGTTCCAACCAATCTCATTCACCAAAACTTTACCTAGATCGGTTCGTGTCCTCATTTGGTGCTTGGGTTAATGATGATAATGTCTATCTTGAACAGTGGGCGGAGTCTTAAATCTCGTTGGGTGTTGCAATTCGTCGCTCAAGGAAATCAAACTATGATAACGGATCACAAAAGGTAAAGTCTCAGCAACTACGTTCGCTTTATTTCTCAAGTTTTTGTTATGAAATTTTACATATAATTTCACATATTTTTTTTTTCTCGAGTTTAGGGAGCGGTAGAGGCCCTACTATACTACCACCATAGATGTTGATGACCGAGTGATCCAAATTGAAGTAGACTCGCTTTTCAAATCTAAACTATTAACTATATCTCTCACTTTCTACGAAGCGGTGGATCCTATAATATTTAGGTATTTTCCACGCATGTTCATTGACGCCAAAAAAAAATTTGTTGAGTTTTTCGTTGTTGAGAGACGACTCGCTTGATAGTATTTTTTTGGCATTCGTTAGAGAAAATAGAAAAATTAAAATTTGAGGGGGTGGCATCGTCGCCAACCAAGTGTGAAACTTGAAAGTGCTTATAATAATTTGAACAGAATCAATAGTTGACTTTTGTAATTCAAGTTGGTTGTCCTAATCTTCACTTTAACGTACGTTTAACCTAATCCAGCACTAATAACTAACATCGTTGAACTCCTCTTTTTTTCCCCACCTCACATAATAATAATAATAATAATAATAATAATAATAATAATAATAATAATAATAATAATAATAATAAAAATAAAAGCCTCATTTAATCTTCTGCTGCGTTTCTCTCATCACTCATGGCATGCTCACCAAAAGAGAAAAAAGTGATAGAGATACATTCTAGTAAAAAAAATGTCCCTCCGCCCGCACCCAGATTCTGCTTTTGCCGGCCTCCCGTCCATACAAATACGTGCTTTGTTGAAATTTTTTCCGGATAAATGTGAATTTGGTCACCGAGATTATTAAATTATTTCATGTTTAGTCACTAGAAATATTTAATAAATTTTGGTCACTCGAATTACTGAAACAAGTCACATTTAGTCACTCTCTTGTTAGTGTCCGTCCAACTTCATTATTTTATGTTTAGTCGCTAGAAAAATTTAATATATTTTGGTCACTCGAATTACTGAAACAAGTCACATTTAGTTACTCTCCCGTTAGTTTCCGTCCAACTTCATTAATGGAGCTGGACGGACACTAACAGGAAAGTGACTAGATGTGACATGTTTCAGTAATTCGAGTGACTAAATGTGACACGCGGAGTTGGACGGAGACTAACGGGAGAGTGACTAAATGTGACCTGTTTCAGTAATTCGAGTGACCAAAATTAATATTAAATTTTTCTAGTGACTAAACATGACACGATTTAGTAATCTCGGTGACCAAATGTGGTATTTACCCAATTTTTTCCGGTAAAGCAATTCTTCTCGCCCGCATGATACGATCCAAATCACAGGACCCTTCACTCTGCTACTTGACCCAAAGTTTTTGCTTCTTTCTTCTCATTGACGCCACCACGCACTCATCCAACAACACGGGTAATAGGTACGGGCCGGGTTCTACGCGAATGCGCTACGCATAGGACATAACAAACAAATGGTAAATTTTAATATTCGGTTTGATCGAGTTAGTAGGGCTGAAAATTGCCCTGACTCGATCTGACCCGTCCTTGAAAAGTCAAGATGTATAATTGTCCCGTCGTTGTCTCCTTCTTGATCCTGTCTGACACTCAAGGGATGGGACGGGTCGGGACGGTGGGTCGACCCTAATCTGCACACTACTTTTTTTATATATTACGTTTTGGTACCCAAAATCAAAATTATTTTTTCTTACACTTTAGTACATAAAATTTATTTTTTTACAAATAGGTCCTTAAATTTTGATGGTAAAATTACATTTTGGGACCCGAAATTTTTTATTTTTTGCAATTTAGTACCTAAACTTTTACAAAGAGGTTCAATGTGGTATGAGATATTTATTGTTGCTAAGGCCTAAGGGTCACAGTCTCACAGACTAAAAAGGAGACCCGTCCCGACCCTTATAGGGTCAAAAGCTGACCCGTCCCTAAACTTGACCTGTTCCGACCCTCAGGGACGGGTCGGAACGGGTCAGTGACTTTTCAGGGTCAAACTTACAGCCTCCTACAGGTTAGATACCCACAAGTTTTGGATTCCACTACCATTCGTAAACCTCGGTTCAAATGTAAGGAAAACGGGAGGTTTATAAACCGAATAATCAGTTGCATCCACTATGGTTTGGTATGATCCGGATATCTATTATGTAACTTTTTTTTCTTTGATATTCGAACGGGAATGGATCAGGTCAGTAACCTTATGGTGAGTAACTATGAGTAACTCGCCCACATCAGCATGACATCATCATCCTCTCTCTCCTGGAAAACCTTTAATTTTCCCCTCCTTAATCTTTGACAGACGATTTCTCACTCGTTTTAAGTCGAAATTTAATTTTTTTTGCACAGTTAGATCAGATTAATTGTGCTCTTCAAAATGATATCCACTTTAATATATTTTTTTCGAACAAAAAAAATTGAGCCATTTTTTACCAGCCTATATACCATATGGTATTGACTGATATTGAAATAAGAGCATACTTATGGTTTGAAAAGCGTACCATGGTGGTATGAACAAACCAAGACCGTAGGATGATTAAATACATGATAGTAGAAGTATATTAATTGTAATTTACGACTTTTAACATTGTATACCACACAATACCACCCCGTACCAGGGTGGTATTGTATGGTATTGTGTGGTATTTTTTGGTCCTGTAATTTGTTCACCCAGAAATTTGTAGATCCAATAGATCATGATGAACTCGTCCCTTCTCTGCAAACGTTTTCAAAAACGAATTAAAAACGAAGAAGATACCATACAATACCACCCCGTACCAGGGTGGTATTGTATGGTATTGTGTGGTATTTTTTTGTCTTGTAATTTGTTCACCCAGAAATTTGTAGATCCAATAGATCATGATGAACTCGTCCCTGCTGTGCAAACGTTTTCAAAAACGAATGAAAAACGAAGAAGATACCATATGGTATGCAGTTGGTATCGAGAGGCCAAAAAAAATTTTCCCTAAAAAAATATTGAAAATTGATCTCATTTTGTAGAGCACGATGAACTCGTTCCATCTGTGCAAAAAAAATTAAAATCCGAGTTAAAACGAAAAAGATATGAGTCAATTAAGAAAGCTAGTAAAAATAAAAATGGTCTTTAATTCTCCATCCTTAGATCTGGATTTTCTAAATGAAGGGTCCAGATTTGGTTATTGATGGGTGCATAACCCATGGTTATGCACCCTATCTTGAGGGGAACGGATCAGGTCAGTAACCTTATGGTGAGTAACTATGAGTAACCCGCCCGCATCAGCATGACATCAGCATCCTCTCTCTCTTGGAAAGCCTTTAATTTTTCCCTCCTTAATCTTTGACGGATGATTTCTCACTCGTTTTAAGTCGAAATTTAATTTTTTTTGCACAGTTAGATCAGATTAATTGTGCTTTTCAAAATGATATCCACTTTGATATATTTTTCGAACAAAAAAAATTGAGCCATTTTTTACCAGTCTATACCATATGGTATTGACTGGTATTGAAATAAGAGCATACCATATGGTATTGACTGGTATTGACACAAACCAAAACTGTAGGATGGTTGAATACATGATAGTAAAAGTATATTAATTGTCATTTACGACTTTTAACATTGTATACCATAAGATACCATAAGATACCACCCCGTACCAGGGTGGTATTGTATGGTATTGTGTGGTATTTTTTGGTCTTGTAATTTGTTCACCCAGAAATTTGTAGATCCACTAGATCATGATGAACTCGTCCCTGCTGTGCAAACGTTTTCAAAAACGAATTAAAATTTAAGAAAATACCATATGGTATGCAGTTGGTACCGAGAGGTCAGATTTTTTTTTTTCACAAATAATATTGAAAATTGATCTCATTTTGTAGAGCACGATGAACTCGTTCCATCTGTGCAAAAAAAATTAAAATCCGAGTTAAAACAAAAAAGATATGAGTCAATTAAGAAAGCTAGTGAAAATAAAAATGACCTTTAATTCTCCATCCTTAGACCAAATTTGTCCCTTGGTTCGAACACAATGGGGTTGAGGACCGGGCGGCATCCTGCTCATACCAAATTTGTGCCAGTCCACTAAGATTGGTTGATGATTATAAACCATAACATAAGCCCACAGCGAGTTTGACAACAAAATATATGGGCCGACTACTCTGTTGATAGGCCCATGTAATGGATTGGGCCTTTTCTACACTTCCAGTCGTCGGATCGGTACTGCTTCCCTGCTCTTCTGCATTTTTTTCTTTTTGGAAGAAAGGAGGAAGAAGGAGAACCAGAGGCGAGAGACAATCAGCAAAACCGCTGGTTTGAACTGATAAAACTGTCGTTAGGGTTTGTATTGGCTTGGCAAGTGGCAATCCCATTGCGGAATGGCTTCTCGCAACCATCTCGACGATGTGAGCCCTCTTTTCCTTCCTTCCTTCCTTCCTCTTTTCAGGTCATCGGGGTCCGTCTTTAGGGCATTTCTTGTTCTGTATTGGGCTGATAGGTTTTGTGAAAATTGTGTGATTTGTGTAGGACGATGACTTCGGCGGCGATTTCAGTGGAGCCCACAACGGAAGGCGTTCGGGTAATAAGAGAAGCTTTGGGGATCTTGAGGACGATGAAGACGATCTCTTTAGTTCGAAGAAGGTAAAGCTCTCGACTTGGTGCCTTGGGTTAACACACGACTGAAGGGTATTCGATGGACGGTCTGTTGTTGGATATACAGAAGTATCAAACTTAATTGTTGAGTGAACCTGCTCATCTTTGTAGTGAGTTTATGTGGGAAATTCAGAGAATTTGAACTAGGAACTATCAAGGGCATTGTCCAGAGGATTTCATTTGGAGATGTTTTTATAACCTGAATGTGATTCATAGGGTTCTGTAAATCTTCTGGTGGGATATAGATCCTTTAGTACTTTGATTTAGGCATAATTTGACTTTTCGAATGTGGAAACTGTGTGAGGGATAATGCAAAGTCGTAGTCTTATTACTGCAGGGTAATTCGAAGGTGGAAGAAACCGCAATGATTCTGTCTCTTCGTGAGAGGTATTCTATGGATTTTAGTGACTTAATTCCTGAACGAACTACATTGAGTATATATTTGTTTTGCTAGTAACCAATTAAGATTCTTACAACTTATTTCTGGGTCTTTCCTTTTACAGCCTTGATACCTGCAGGAACGATCTTGCGACATGTCAAGTATGATCCTCTGCCTCCATGCTTTGCACATTGTTGGTTTCTGTAGAATTGGTTATTTCCAAAAACAAAGAGCATATTGGAGTTCTCTCCTTAGGCTTGTGCATTATTGTATAAAGTATGAGTTTCACTTTTGACTTCAGAATATCCATTTGTTTGAGTTTTCAATTTACATGAGGTTTCTGGCTCCCAGCAGCCTCAGCTATATTTTCCCTAGGTTGCTAGTACAATGTGAACTTGCATACAACACTATATTCGGTATTTTTGGCATCACTGTTTTTGTTTGATAAACTTCTTGTAGATGAGAAGCAGCTTAAATTTCGTGTGTGTCATCATTGTAGTATGAAACAAAGAGATGTAAATGGTTTAGTTTTAGGTTGTTATTCTAGAACTGTCTCTATGGTGGTTGGCTATACTTCTTGCTTGGATTTCTCATGATTACAGCTTGCTGCTGCTAAATTATACTTAAGTTATGACTTTGCTATAGCTTTTGTTGAATTATACCATACTGATAGTTATGTACTCTAAATGTGGTCTTGATTGCAGACGGAGCTTGAAGCGGCAAAGTTGGAGATTCGAAAGTGGCATTCTGCATTTGAGAATTCGTCTTTCATACCCTCAGGGGCATCTCCCGGTTGGTCTTTGTTAAGGGTTTTGTTACCTAATATTTCTTTCATATTTATGTATATTTTCCCTTTCTACAAGTTCTCTTTCGTGCTGTTAAAACTTGGGTTCTTCTTACTTCTGTAGAACCTAAACTAGTCATCAATTATCTTCAGACTCTGAAATCATCGGAGGAGTCATTGGAGGAACAGGTATCGTGCTTGATTTCTCTCTGCTCTGAGAGCTCATGAATCCTTATCTCAATCTCATTGGTCTCTCATTCGTTTTATCAGCTTGAGAAAGCAAAGAAAAAGGAAGCAGCCTTCATTGTTACATTTGCCAAACGAGAGCAGGAGATAGCAGAATTGAAGGTTGCGGCTGCTTGCTTTCTTTTATTCTGCATTTTGTTACTTTAATAGTTTGATTTGTTTGTTTCCTTTTCGTGCTTGCTGCTTGTATTAGTGATGGGGAAACACTTTTGTATGCCTAGTGTTTGCAATGCCTATTCATGCGTTTGATAAGTTCTTTGTTCCACATGTTTCCAGTCTGCAGTTCGGGACTTGAGAGCACAACTGAAGCCACCGTCAATGCAGGTACTTAATTTCTGAAACTGACCCCTTGAATATAACTTCTATGGTTGGGATTTTGTTTGATCCATGTGCTTTGTTGTCCTGTATCTTTGTACCTAACTGTGTCTCGGAGATTTGTTTCCATAAGCTTTTCCATGCTTTCTTTTGGATGAACTATTACTTAAACATGCTAAAGAGCCCTATTCTGATTTTTATATGATTTAGGAATTGTTGTGAGTTCTTTTACTGTGGTGTAGTTGCTGCTTCTGATTTACATTTTTCTTCCAATCTGTCAGGCAAGGAGATTGCTACTTGATCCAGCAATTCATGAGGAATTTACTCGCTTGAAGGTTTGTGTTCTGACATCTTTGGCTTTGATATGTTCACGGATAGTGGCTTCTAACAGTATTATCAATATTCCATCAATATTCCATGATCAGGTGAGATAATGTGCATATGCGCTTTTTTCTCATTTTGATGGCTGGGACATAAGTAACATTAGAGTAAAGATAGGGCTCTGATTATCAGAGACCTTTATTGCATTTCATGGCACTGGCCTTTTGCTGCATTACCTATTAATGGTAATGCAAAATGGCCTTTTGCTGCATTACCTATTAATTCAAAAATTGGTGTTGCACTAGAATTTGATTGAAGAGAAGGACAAAAAGGTGAAGGAACTACAGGACAACATTGCTGCCATGAATTTTACTCCACAAAGCAAGATGGGGAAGATGCTAATGGCAAAGTGCAAGACTCTTCAAGAGGAAAATGAGGAGATTGGTGCTCAAGCAGCTGAAGGAAAGGTATAGCCTTGTGCCTGTAATTCAAGCATTTATTTTATGCATCTTCATATATGGAGGGGAAACACAGTTTGATTGGTAGTTCCTCAATCATCTATTATTATGCCCATTAGATCAATGTTAATCCCTCGTGCTATATGATATATAGATCCATGAGTTGGGAATGAAGCTTGCCTTGCAGAAATCTCAGAATGCTGAACTCCGAAATCAGTATGAAGGTTAGGCATACAACAGATTATCTTATATGTTCCACAGTTTACCCCTTCTGAAGATTTTTTTCATCGATTTCACCTGGCTTATACAGGCCTGTACAAACACATTGAGGGCCTAACAGATGATGTTGAGAAGTCGAATGAAATGGTTAGCTATCTTGCATCTTCATCTTTCTGCCATTTTTTTGTGCACATGTTTCTCATTATTGCTAACAAAGAGGCACTAATTTTTGTACAGGTGCTCATCTTACAAGAGAAGCTTATGGAGAAGGATGGGGAGATCAACCAACTGAAGCTGAAGCAGAAGCTTGACCTGCAACAGAAGACCCCTGTAGAAGAACCAGAGCCACCCACCGATTTAGCTCCAGAGAAAGCAGTTAGCAGTGATGAACTAATGACTCCAAAACAAGAAACTGAGGCTGATTAAACTGTTTTGGAAGAAGATTTTGTAGTTTGCTGGCAGTCAAATTTTCCTTGTATGTGCAATGTGTACATTAAACATATCTCATTAGTCATTAATCTTTCCACACATTTTTGTTCTCTGGGGTCTGGGTGATTGAAACTGAAGGTAGCATAAAAGTCTGCTGGTGTAATAAGGGCTACAAATACTCTCTATGAAGGGTACTTTGTACAATACCCTAATTCGATATAATGTGTTAAGCTGACATAAGAGTCCTAATTGCACTGCAAAACTTCTGGTGTTTCATCGATGCTTCCTTTTGTTGCCTGTCGGCCAACCCAAACCAGCATTTCCAGTGTTCCCAACGGCCTGTATTGGTTCAACCAGTCCTTTCCTGCTGCTGCCAAGAGCATCTCCCTGCACATGTTCCAACAGCGTGGTTGGTTCAAGCTTGAGAATCGCCAGAAAGTCGTTGATGGTTCACATGTTTCTGAACATAGTATGTATGTTTCCAAAACATCAAGTAGGTTTATGAAACAATATACCTCTTTCCAACCCATGCCCTCAAGAATCTTTCTAGCATAACTACCGGCTCCAAATGGTGTGATGCCTTCGTCAGGTTCAACTTCATCAGTAGCTGTTGGTTCAGGTGATGAACTACCGGGATTGTTAACTGATGGAATCTTCTGACCGGGACCCACACCATAACCACCATGCAATTTTCTTCTCTCGGCAGCTCTATCCCTATAAGCATGACTTTCCTACAAGTGACGGATAGATCCATTGCTAAGAAATTTGGCAATTTGAGGTAGCATTTATGTCATGGGAGCATCCTAATTCCAATAGGAAAGAAAGAAGAATATGTGCTGCCACATCACAAGGTCTGAAATCCTTGGTTCGCCACATGCTAGTACAATTAGTTTGGATGTTCGGTATGTATCCAATGTACATGAAACACAATCGTCATTGTAATGGAAACTACATACCTGTGTGGATTTCAAGAGTTGATCGGATGACTTTGATGCAGCTCCATCACTTGATCCTCTTGATTTTTTCAGTCCATCATCTTGAATGCTACTTGACAGCTCAGGGAAACACCAATCTTTAGTTGGGTTGGAAGAATCGTAAGTTGACAAAGAAGCCAAGTACTTCGAACTCGGATTTCTCAACTTGTAAATTTGTCCTGCACAAGGAAGGACTTTCATCAGCTTCGTACAGCGACGACAACTATCAACAGTTCACCGCGAGAGTGTTCAAACAAGACAATTGAAGTATATGATAACAGACCACAGCAGAAGGAAAATCCCAACCTGTTTTAACCCGTACCAGGTCAAGATGCACTTCACATATTGGAGCAGTTCTTAAAAGACCCCCACCAGTGTGCATGGAAGGGTGAAGCTTAGCAGACCGTTTCACCAACCGACCAACCAGTCTAGCCACCTTACTATGGCCATCCACTTTGGAACCTGTGATCAAAGTCCAATCCCATAAATCTGTGGCAGTACAGTCCTGTACTCTATCTTCGTTGTCATGGACTACTTGGCCATACTGAGCTCGCCAGCTCTCTTCCTCTGCTGATACATGTGCTAGGGAAGAAACATTGAGTTCCACAATGCACTTAGTTAGATTGTTGTACTCCCCAAATGGCGATCAACATATAGAGCAATTGAGAAAAAAGAACTGAACATGAATTAATAAAGAATGCAGTTTTGCGTTAGGGCTAAAGAAGCCATGCCCATGAGTCATACATGATATAAGAACTGGCAGTACCTTCATCAATGTTGCTTTCACCAGGAGCACTTAAACCACTAGAAACGTCTGTTATCATTTCTTGTTGTGACATGTTGTTATCCTCATTTCCTCCAGCTTTAAAATGAGAGGACAGTTAGATGGTTTCTAGATGGGAAGCCCTTTGACTTAAAAGGCGAGGACATTGAATGGGGAAAAAACAACACCTGAAGAGTAGACACCATCTCCACCATCCATTTCTGAAGGCACTATGGAGTTATGATGAGCATCGTCTCTTTTCTTGTAACCAGACAAGTACAGATTGATAAGTGTTTCCTCCAGCCTGGATCATGGAAGTAGAATTCTTAGATAGCAGACCACAAAAATAAAAACTTCAGCAACCTAACAGCCTTTCACTCGAGCTGTAGGTTACCAATTTGAAGGCGGCGGTGGAAACTCAGGTTCTTCAGAGCTGCCACACCCAGTATCTCCTGCCAAACAAACCAACAATTCCCCTGGATTTAGACGAAAGAGTGCTCGATGTAGAGAACTAACCACGACTAGAGAAGGGGATAAGGGAGGTGCAGAACGTACAAACAAGTAAAACCAACAAATGCTACGTACTAGTAAGCCGCTCACTTATTCCACCATGTTGGCAACTACCAGACTCATCAACCATTAATACAGAACCAGATAAAAATCCCCCCTCAACATTGCTTTCTTCAGCATGTGTTGACCTTTCCAAGTTGGGTTCAGAAGCATCAGCAACAATTCCTCCACCAGTTTCTGCTTCACATCCATTAACCTTAAGCCCAGAAACAAAATTATGAGAACTAAGCAAATGATGTAGCAGACTGAGGAAAACAACAGAACCCAAGAACCATCCTCCTCATCCCACATTAACCATGAAAACAAACAAAGCGGTTGGCACCTGATTGGACTGCAAAAGCTCATAGCTCCCGTTCTCAAACTTGTAGTAGAGCCCATCTCTGCTATTGTAGTACCACCCCGCATTTGGGTCGTGATAGAATCCACTACTGCATCCATTTTTTTTTTAGCTTTAAGAGAAGAATTCAATTCAATTCAGCCACATAAATCTCGAGAATAATTCACAGACAAGACACAGTGGGGGAAAAAGAGATTCCTGACAAAGAAAGAAAAGTTGGCGTAGCGACCAGCACGATCAGCAGCATACCTGGCATGATAATAGAGTTGAGTTGTTTCGTCCCAGATGAAAGAACAATCATCCCTTGCGGCGTCCTTTGCTCCTTCGCTTTCCATGGCTTCCTCAATTTCTCCACTAGTAGGCAATTTCCCAGGATCCCCCGTACTCTTACTGCTAATTCTGTTTTCGGCCTCCCCGTTCGCTGCTTCTAGTTTGCCGGTCGAATTCCGCGCCACCGTCCAGCGACAATGGGCCGGCCCAGCCCATTTTCAATGGGTAAGTGTGGGCTCAAACTTTCGAAGCCTGTGTGGATTGGGGTAGGTGATGCAAAGCTTATGAAATTTTTAAGAACAAAGCATACTAGGTTTGATTTATACAACCAACTAGGGGCGGCTACACGGACCGATCCGGTCAAATTGACTCGTATTGATTCGGTCTCGGTTCGATATTTTCAAAAATATGAGGATCGAAGATCGGATTGGATACAGTTCGATTTTGACTCGGTCCGGTCCCAATCCGGTCTTGATTTTAGATTGAACTTGTGGGGTTTTTTGAGTGTGTTGAGGCCTAAAAGGGCGAGCAGTTGGTTAGGTTTTGGGTGTTGGGCTCTCTTATCCGGTTTCCAGTCCGATGCCGGGCGATTTTTTTTTACCTCAAATCTAAGCTCGAAAATGGGATTGGATTATTTGCTATCCGGTCTCGATCCGAGTTTTACGGTCCAGTTACAGGTAAAACCAAAAAACTCGGACCAAATAGCCACCCCTAGAACCAACTGAGTTTGTAGTAGAACGATACTTTGGTTGTAGAGAGAACTTAATGAACGTCCAAGTCCAACGTTTGAATTCTAGCAACTTTCTTATCAAAACGTTATTGCCCTGCCCTCTCTCGTTCACTCAACAACAAAATCAAGCGTAATGTTGGTTGTTTGAATATGTTTTTTTTTTATAGTTGTATCGACTCATCCGACACCAATCTAACACCTAATTAAGGGGTGGACATCGATCGATTCAACCTAGACCAAATTGATTCATCCAACTATGTGCTGTTGTAACTAACTGTTGATAGCAAACCCTAATCAAAACGAAAAGAATATACAAAGCTCGTACCAAAAAGAAAAAAAAAAACTAAAATTAACATCCGTCACTGAAAATAGTCGTCGTCCCCATATCACCATAGCAACAATAACCCACCCTTGCTCTGTAGCTATAAGCTCCTCAATCTCTTTATAAACGCCAAGTAATTATCATCACGATCCAGCATACTTATTCTAACGTACTTGGGGCTATCTCCGAAATGAACACCGCTTCTCGTCAGTATCTTCTTCTCCCTGAAAAACCCTTCGCAGTCTTCGATCTCTCCCTCGCACTTCAACCACGCAAATGCTGCCCACCGCAATCACAAACACACAAAAAATCAGTATCCGCATAACCAAATTCAAATTCAGTTGCGCTGTGTGCGGAGACGGACAATCCAACGATGTTAACACGTGCTCGAGTTCGATTGGACTTTACCGGGTTGGTTCCCGAAGGATCGGCGGTTGAAATTGCAGAACTGGGCAGGGTAGTCCGGCAAGCTGAACAGGCCGCTCTGTTTCACCGCCTCCCTCAGCAGCCGCCACCGTTCCTCCATGTTCTCGAACCCGAATTCGAAAAGCGAATGAGCCGCCGCCGGCGGCGCGTCGCCCTGGTTCGATCCTTCCTCCTCCGCGTCGGAAACGACCTTCATGATCTTGGCTGCTCTCAGCTGCGAGTCCTTCGACACGCCGATGCTGTTCAGCTCGATGAATTTCGTCATTTTCCTCGCCACGTCGGCGTCCTTCACCAGCGCCCAACTGGTAAAACCGGGGGGAAAAAACGCCGAGTCAGACTGTAAATCTTGTTCTGAATGAAGGGATGAATTTATTTCATTTAATTTTCATTTACCCGATCCTAATTCCAGCGTGTCCGGTGGATTTGGAGACGGTGAACAGGGTAATGTCGTGATCCGCCGGCGGCGAGGTCATGGCAGTGTACTGCGGCCAATAGTAGGCGAAATCGTGAACCAAAACCCCGCCGCTCCGATTCACCACCGGATCCCTCAAGAACCCATCTGGGTTGTTCGGCGAGGTCACCAATTCGACGAACGGCCCGTCGCCGCCGTCGAAAGAGGCGGCGTCCCCTGCCCACCTGTACAAACCCGACCTCAGGCAGTCCGTCGTCGTAGGGTACGACTGCAATCAATCAATCAATCAATTCAACCAAAAGAGCAGATAATGGAAGGGGAATTCATACTTGTGATCTCTACTACAAAAGCTTTTGATCCTTTTGACTTACAGAGTAGAAGGGCGCCATGGAAACGACGCTAACAGGGTCGGTGACATTCTGCGGGCAGAGAGCGTAGAGGACGGCCAGGAAGAGCTGCGTGGAGCCCGTGCCGACGACGATGTGCCGGCCGTCGGTGACCGCATTGCCGACGATGCCGTGTAGCCTGACGATCTGGCGACCGAGCTCCGGTTCGAGGAACCAGCAGAGGTTCCCCGGGTCAGAGAAGTAGCTCGTTGACTGCCAGCCTGGGATCACAATCGTGGCTCTGTCTCCGGTTCCCTGCCAGAACTTCTCGTACATCGTTGGGTCGCCGCTGCAGGGGACAAACAAACAACAAACAAGTTGAACAATCCGCCATGATCGTCAGTCAATTGAATAATAATGTCAGCTAATTGCATATATAAAGCATTCTGACTTGATCTAAACAAGGAAGACCATATCCCATTCCCATCCCATCCATTAACAAAGATAATAAAAAGAAAAAGTATTGACTTGCCTCGAAAACGAAAAGGGTAACATCGGATATAAAATTGAAACATGGATTCAAGTGTTTGGTTTCTTAAGATGTGAATCTTCTCTTCTTCTTCTCCCAACAAACATTTGACACTTGTTTACTCATCCTACCTCCCAAAACATTGTATTCAATCGAGACTTAGATTCGTCAGTCTCGTAACAAATCGATCGATTTAAGAAGGGGCATAAACAACGTGCTTACTTCTACCCATTTCGGCCGAAACGGTCCAGATTCATAAAAAAACAACTAAATTGGGTAGTTGGGAAAGGACAAGGGGAGGGAGTTGTTGGTTTCAGAATGCATGGGGGGTAGGTATGGGTGGGAGAAATGTAAAGCAAGAAGAGAAGAGGGAGGAGCCATTTGTTTGCATGGCAGGAAAGACCCATCCATCATCATGTCCAAATAATACCCAACTAATCAATGAAATGAATGTTTAAAAGAATATGCAGAGATCTATGAGGCCCACTGCAGATTGGGATTTTTCTTGATTTATTGAGATCCAGTGAAAGCCAACAATCCAATTGTTTATGACTTTCTTTCTTGACCCCTCTAACTTTACCATCTTCCCAATAGCAAGAAATGAAAATCACCACTCAGGAATAACAGTTGCAGTATCCCAAGCCACATGGCCCCCAACAACAGAAGAGAAGAAAGTTTGCATCTTTACTACAAAGAGAGGAAGGAAAGGGGGAACCCAGAAAGTGGTGGAGGTGGTGCCAATGTGCTCTCCATTACTGACACAGAGCTTTTGGGTGTCTCTCAATCTAGACCATTATTTATAGCAAAAATGGAATGCACATTTCCTTTTTTCCCTTACTAAAAGCTTCTTTCTTCTATTATATATAGATATAGGTCCACATAGGCGCACTGGCCACATTCATGGGAAGGAAGGAAGGAAGGAAGGAATAGGATGTAACTCATAAAGTCAAAGCTGTGATTGAGTATCCCTTCCCACAATGAACTGAACCCCCTCATTTTCACTTGCAAAAAAGGAATCCCAAACTCAAAAAGAGAATCAACCATGAACCAACCCCTCTGTTTTCTTCTTTTTCTTTTTATTAAAAAAGAAGTTAATTAAACCCAACATATAAAAAGGATGAGGTGTAAGTGTATATGGAGATGATGAGTCACCCATCCCTTGAGGTTGGGAACATGAAAATGACAAAAGAGAAAAGACAATTTGGTCAATTTGGTAGTGTCCCAACCAAACAATGAGAAGGCAGCACTAGCAATTAGCAAAGCTCATCATCCCTAACTACAACTTAACATAACATAAACATGCAACATTGCAACTCCTAAATATCACAACATCTGATTTAAACTAGGATATTTTCTTTTGGCAAACATGTGTTGTAGAATACATGAATTTTGGTATCATGCTATGGTATTTGATTGACAAGAATTATGATGCGGGTTTCGTATAATTGGATGAATTGTTGATATTGTATTAACATATACTCGTGCAAATGCATGAGGGAAAGAACCATGTATTCCTAGAAACCATGTATTCTGTAAATCAGCAAACAACCCCAACAAATTGAACTCTAAAGCCTACCACAGAAAATCATTTTCATTTTCCCCAAGAAAAAAAAAAGAAAAAAAAAACTTTTGATATAGTAAAAGAGCTGTCTTTGTCCAGACTGCAAAGGCCAAAACACTGAAAAATCCCATTCCCCGGCCATCCCAACAGACCCCAAAGCAAAGCAGAGTAAAGAAAGACTGGAAAGCTACCACTGAATCAAAGCAAAGCAAAACAAAGCAGAGAAAGGAACAAGGGAAAGCTACTACTGAAACAGAGCTTAAAGATGAGGGGAAAGAACCGATTCCGACCCACCATCAACACAGGAATCATCGATTCCTGATTGATAACTATGAAACAGAAGAAACCCAACTAAGCTGTGAAAATATTCAACTTTTTATTATCATTTTGGGCTTCAAACTTTCCGCCCCCCCCCCCCCCCATTCAATTCAATAGCTGATGCGCAGAGCAAACAGAAGCAAAAGGCAAACCAAAATAGTTGAAAAGAGAGGGAACATACTGGTCAAGGTTGATGATTCTGCCGTGGTCCACCAATCTATGCTCTGCCGTTTTAGAAGAAGAAGCAAGAACTGATACGGCGGCCGGAGAAGCAGCAGCATCGGCATCAGGGGCAGCAGCTTCAAAACCCTTACTAACAGAGAGTGAGCAGAGGGAGAGCAGGTCAAGAGCTGGGCTGAAACCTCCGATGTAAACCCTGAAGAGCAGGCTCGCGTTTAAGGCCAGCGAAGCCACCAGAAGGTGTCTTGCAGAGAATACATTCAAAGACCCACCACCCATTGTGAAAGCCAAAACAGGGGATGGGAAGAAAAAAAAAACAGAGCCCTTTGAGAGAAACAGAGAGACAGAGAGAGAGTAGAACAGATTTATGGGCAGAAGGCTTTCATCGAAAACCTGGGCTTTGAGAAGAGGGAAAGGCAAAACATTCGAGTTTCAGAGTAGAAAACAGCTGCTTTCTTGCATTTCGATTTTGGGGAACAGGGGAAAAAGAAAGAGAAACAAGGGAATGAAGCCCCAAAATATAAACAGAGGGGTTAGTGGACTTTTTTCTGATTTGAATAATGATAACTCAGGACGGAGAGAGACTGAGAGAGAAGAAGTAACGTGTGCCGAGTGAAGTGAACACCAACTGTGGCACTTGGGGGACTGTAACAAAAGAAAGAAGAAACGGAAGAATCGCAAAAATTTGGAACCCAGTCAGTGGCAGATCTCGAACAAGTAACAATTTACTACTCACAACTCCTCCCCCCAGTTCTTCTCTTTTTCTTTGTTTAATATAAAGCTATAGATTCACTGTCCCGCATTTGTCTTTCTCTTTTGGGTTAATACCTTAGTTTGGCCCGAACTATACACATACTTTCTACTTTGGCCCGAATTATTGAATATTGCTACTATGGCCTGAACTATGTAGCAAACTTCCTCATTTGGCCTGGAGGCGCGTTTGACCGTCAAAACAGACGGTCAACCAAGTTGACCGTTAGTCAATATACACATCAGCTGCCACGTATACATTAAAAATTATATATTTTTTTACAAAAAATAAAAAATAAATTAATAACTCTAAAAAAAAAAGGAACGGAAAATAAAAGAAAAAAAATTAAATTAAATTAAAAAAAACCCACAGCCACCCATCCCTATCTTCCCGCATCGATTCTTATCGGGAATTACCTCCCCCCTTTCAGACCCATCGTCTATCCCCAACTCCCTTCCCCGACGAATTCTCGGCGATTCTCGAAGATTCTCCGGCAAATGCAGCGGCGGCCGGTCGGTGAAAGACGCCGCCGTCGCTGATTCCGCCATCCAAATACACCACCTGACCAGGCCTATCCTTCTTTGTATCATACCAAACGAGCATTCCCCCATCCAAATACAGCAGAACTTCATCGCCATTGACGGACAGATCCAGAGCCACCGGCAACGACGACAAATCCAGATACCCCAATTCCCGAATCGAGAACAGCTTGCTCCACGCCGCCTCCACACCGTACTGATCTCTCCTCATCATCCAGACATGAACAACCTTCTTCCCCAGCTCATCATCACGATCCGCTGCGCGATTGCACACGCACAAGCGATTCCTCAATCCCACGAAGTTCAAGGCGACCTCGTGACCAAAACCCGAGCGAGGCAGGGGAATTCCCCGCCACTGATTCGCCCCGAGATGGTACGCGACAATGATCGAATTCTCACCGTACCTGCGGAACGGCCAATGTAAGGAATCGCCTACCGAAACCCCTGACCTCTGCTCAATCATCCCGCAAAAGGGTATCTCTTCTGCCCGCAAGGTGTTCGACGAAATGCCGAAGCAGAACACCACCGATTTACACCTCGCGTGGGACTCGTCCCCCGTGATGTACACCCTGGCGAGCTTGTAATCCTTAATCCCCGGATCGTACCCGAATCCGTACGCGAATGGCTGCACCACGCCGTCGCCTGGCCGCCGGGTTCGTGGAATCGGGCCATGAACCCTTGGGGCAGGGGAGCCTGCAGGGTGGAGTGGTGCTTTCGGGTCGCCGGGTTGAGCAGGTAGACCCGGTTGGTGCCCGTGTAGCCGAGGCAGACCAGCCCGTGGCAGGAGCCAAGGAGGGTGATGCCGCCGTCGGAACGCCATTGACGGAGTCCGGCGAATCAGCGATGGGTCTGAAAGGGGGGAGGTAATTCCCGATAAGAATCGATGCGGGAAGATAGGGATGGGTGGCTGTGGGTTTTTTTTAATTTTATTTTATTTTTTTTCTTTTATTTTCCGTTCCTTTTTTTTAGAGTTATTAATTTATTTTTTATTTTTTGTAAAAAAAATAATATAATTTTTAATGTATACGTGGCAGCTGATGTGTATATTGACTAACGGTCAACTTGGTTGACCGTCTGTTTTGACGGTCAAACGCGCCTCCAGGCCAAATGAGGAAGTTTGCTACATAGTTCAGGCCATAGTAGCAATATTCAATAATTCGGGGCAAAGTAGAAAGTATGTGTATAGTTCGGGCCAAACTAAGGTATTAACCCTTCTCTTTTTGATTTTTATATGCTGTAAAAATATGGGGTACCCCTAAAAAAACAACATGAGGTTTGAAATCCAGTGCAGACCGCAAATGAGTCGAGCTCGAACTAGTTTTTCTTATTCGGGAGTGCGTCGTAGAAGGTTGTGTACATCATGGAGAGAATTCAAAGAAAATTCATGTGGAGTGGCACAGAGGAGACAGGCATAAGATGTCCCTTGTTGAATGGAATACACGCAGAGCATCTAAAGCTAATAATGGGCTTGGAATTGTTGATTTAACTACTTTCAATAGCTCTCTTCCAGCTGAATGGATGTGGAAATTTGCCGTCGAGAGAGAGAGAGAGAGAGATAAATGGTGGCGCAATCTCATTGATATCAACTATCCTAATACGATGTCATGTTGTCGTGTTAGAAGTGGTTTCGTTGATTCTGTCAGGGCAAATATCACCAAGGAATCTGACAATTTTTGGAAACTTGCTTATATCGACAAACGAGGAGGAGATTTTGTCTCTTTTTGGCACAATACATGAATTCCCGGTATGACACTTGTCAAAGTCTTCCCCCGAATCGTTGCTGTCACATCTTCTCCTAATGCACGGATCTCTGACATCTTATCATTCTCAGGTGAGAGGGCTTCTTGGAATTTGAATCTCAATTTCGCTTTAAGAGGGAGGGGGGCTGAAAGGGAAAGAAAGTATCTTTTTTCGCTTCTCAGTTCTCTCGACTGTCATTAGTTGGCTAAACGTCCATGTAGGTTGATCTGGTCCCCAAACCCAGATTATGGTTTCTTTGTTGCCTCCATGTATAGGTCGCAGATTCAAGACTTAATTTCTCGACTTCCAAATTTCCCATCCGCAGCTGTTTGGAAGCACATTATTCCCACCAAAATCTATTTTTTCATCTGGTGCATCACTCACAACTAGGGGTGGCTATACGGTCCAGTCCGGTTAAATTGGTCCAAATGGATCCGGTCCAGTCCGGTTTTTTTGAAAATATAAGGACCAAAGGTTGGATTGGATACAGTCCGGTCTTGATCCGGTCCGGTCTTGACTCGGTCCGGTCCCAATTCGGTCTTGATTTTATATTGAGATTGTGAGAATTTGAGTGGCCTAAGGCCTAGAAGGGTGAGGAGTTGGTTAAGTTTTGTACTAAGTGCAAAGGTTTGTGACCGTTTATGCAAATTACCCTTAAGTTTTGGGTGTTGAGCTCTCTTATCCGGTCTTTATCCGTTTTTTTACCTCAAATCTAAGCCCAAAGATTGGATTGGATTGTTTACTATCCGGTCCCGGTCCGGTCTCGGTCCGGGTTATACGGTCCGGTTTCCGGTTTTTCATCCGGTCCCGGTCCAAATAGCCAGCCCTACTCACAACATCATTTTGACCAAAATCTGTCACTTGCAATTATGTTGATGACGTTTGGAACTCCATTCGAAGAGGATGTACTACTATTGAAAATCCAAACGATGATATTAGGAATTCCATTCGGAATCGACCTTCGAGAACACCCGATTGCATTGATGATTGGTTTGTCTACTGTTGTCTTCATGTTATACTTTGGTATGTGTGGATCGAACATAATCAGCGTATTTTCAAGGATAAAAGTCTGATTTTCGGAACCCTTTCACAACATATTGTGAATACTGTGATGAGCTGGCTCATGGTTTTTGGTAAGATCAGCAATGATCAAGGAAATAGTTGGATTACTGATTGCCTGTTGAGAATGGAATGATCTACTTTCAGTTTGATATGTGGCACTTCGGGGACTGTAACAAAAAAAAGGGAAGAATAGCAAAAATTTGGAACCCAATCAGTGGCAGATCTCGAACAAGTAACATTTACTACTCACAACTCAACTCGACTCCTCCCCCGATTCTTCTCTTTAAAAAAATATATAAAGCTATAGATTCACTGCCCCGCATTTGTCCTCTCTTTTTTATTTTTATATGCTGAATTAGTTATAGCAATTTGAGATTTGAAATCTGGAGTAGTATTGCAAATGAGTCGTGTCGAACCGAGCATTAATCTAATTAGAGCTTGGTTTGTTAAGAATTGATACAAGCTCAAGCTCGAACTTGGCTTGTTTACAAAAATTCTCTTGACTGTCATTAGTCGACTAACTGTCCATGTAGGTTGATCTGGTCCCCAAAACCATATTATGGTTTGTTTATTGCCACCATGTACAGGTCGCAAATTCAAGACTTGTTTCCTAGACTTCCAAATTTCCCATCCACAGCTGTTTGGAAGCACAATATGCCCACCAAAATATGTTTTTCATCTGGTGCTTCACTCAAAGCATCATTCTGACCATTCATAATTTATAAAGAAGAGGATGGAATCTCGCAAACCGTAGTGACCTCTGTCAATGTGAAGAGGAAACTATCAATCATATATTTGTCAGTTGCAATACGTTGATGATGTTTGGAACTCCATTCAAAGAGGATGTACTGCTATTGAAAATCTAAACGATGATATTAGGAATTCCCTTAGGAATCGGGCTTCGAGAAGACCATATTGCATTGACGATTGGTTTGTCTACTATTGTCTTCATGCTATACTTTGGTATGTGTGGATCGTACGTAATCAGCGTATTTTCAAGATAAAAGTCAGATTTTCGGAATCCTTTCATGACATATTGTGAATACTGTGATGAGCTAGCTCGTGGCTTTTGGCAAGATCAACAATGATCAAGGCACTAGCTGGATTACTGATTGCCTCCTAAGAATGGGTGGGGTGATATGCTTTTGAACTGTGGCACTTGGGGGACTGTAACAAAAAAAAGGGAAGAATCGCAAAACATTTGGAACCTAGTCAGTGGCAGATCTCAAGCAAGTAACATTTACTACTCACAAGTCACAACTCAACTCGACTCCTCCCCCATTCTTCTCCTTTTTTTTAATATAAAGCTATGGATACACTGTCTTGCATTTGTCCTCTCTTTTTTATTTTTTATATGCTGAATTGGTAATAACAATTTGAGATTTGAAATCTGAAGTAGGTCTATAAATGAGTCGAGTCGAACCGAGTATTGATTCAATTGGAGTTCGGTTTGTTAAGAATTGATACAAGCTAAAGCTCGAACTTGGCTTGTTTACAGAAACCTTGGCTTGCGTTTGACTCGAACTCGACTCGTGAATTAGCTTGGCAGATGGGCTCGAGGTCAAGTATCATATCATTTAATTCATAATTTTAACAATTCACATCATATTGTTTAATTGTAATTAGTATATGAGCAATGTAATACATAATTTCTCTTTTAAATTATAAATAAGACATATTTGATCACGTGCTCAAATTATTAAACATTATATGTGGCGCGATATGTAATCTAACAAATCTATGATTTATCTACGAGCGAATGATAAGCTATTAATCAATTCCCTCATGAAGTTGCTAATTGGGATGACTCACTAGCCATATTGTCAAGCCAGCTCATAGCTCAAAACGAGCTAGCTAGCGAGTTGAAGTAAAATAGTCGTCGAGTCGAGCTGGCTCACGAGTCTTGCGAGCTAAACAAGACTTTACTCAACCTTGGTTCAGTAGTAAATGAGCCGAGTGTTGAACGAGTTTTCAGAGACAAACACTAAACCGCTCGTGAGCATCTTGCCTCATTTAACCCTATATGGAGTAAGTAATAGTCAAGTATCTCACCCTTTCTCCTTTTACTCATATATAACCTAACAGTATCATACTAAACAAATTTTAGATGTACTTGAGATGGTAATTGAACTAGCACGACATGTATCCAATTCGGTCTGACCTTATTAAATCAGATAAAACCCATGGTTGACGAGTATTTTAGTTCGGTGTGGATTTTATCCGCTTTTTGGAACTTACGAGTTGGTTCATACGCGAGTTTTTCCATAACTCAATCCACTTTCCACCCAACTTGTACTCTAAAAGTAAATCGGTGTCGTTTTGTATCTAGCCCTAACAATATATCTACTGATAGATGTTATTACTTGTTAGTCATTATGGCAATGCATTTATTATAATATGGTTAATTTATTAATTATTAGTCTTTATGACTATACGTTATAGATAAGACTATATGGCAATATTAAGGTCGTTTGCTTGTGAGATTTTAAAAAATGAAGAATTTTGGTAAAACCTTGGATTTTGGGATTGAAGGATTATGTTGGATTTTGCTATGTTGGATTTGTGCTAGATTTTAAAAATTGCATGTTTGCTTGTTGGATTTCAAAATGGACTTTACTATCTTGGATTTATGGGTTAAATGATGAGTTTACCTTCTTATCCTTCTTCCTATCATTATAAAGTATACTTTGGTCATTCATAGTTAGAGGTCCACGGTTTGGCAACTCTCAAAATCTTAGCTAATGGGATGAGATTTTATAATCCGTGAGGTCCACGAATTTTGAGCCACAAAAATCCCACATTTGTGGGCCCTACAGATTTAGGTCAACCTCAACAAACATGGATTTGGTCATTAATCCAACATATTTGGGATTTTGGGACAAAATCCCTCATCAAAATCCTACAAGCAAGCGACCCCAGCATGTGGATGCATGGAGGAATTATTTGTGCTTATCGTTTGCTTTTGAGATTTTGATCAAGGATTTTGGTCCAAAATCCCACACCCATAGGATTATACTC